TCTATCAAGAAGTTTTTCATAATTTGTAATACCATATAATATTGTACTTTTACTATCTATTCAATAATAATGTTATTTATTTGTCATTTACTTTTTCTGATATATATATATATATCTATATATTTTAATGTATTTATTAAAATATTTTAATAAATATGTTCCGTGCATCGCACGGGTGAAGATACTAGTACAAAGAATTAGTGTGGAGCTAATTAAATTTAAACATATATCATGCAAATTCTTGTGTACTACTTAATTTGTGTCATTACATTAGGGTTTGGTGCACTCCACGTTGAAGTCATTTTACACATGTGTATGGTTGGTTAGGTTCATATACATATATTATTTTGTTGGGAATTTTTACATTTTTTTTTTTGGAGCCAGCCACGATATCCGGAGCTATCCAAACTAGGGATTATTAATGTTTCTATGCATCAAATTTAAAATTCTATATTTTGTAATCAATAAATGTATAAATTTAGTGCACAATTCATGAAGTCAGGGGCATAGATAGAACTACATATATATATTAACCACAAATAAAACTAATAAACATGTTTACGCAAATGACGATTATTTTTTTTTTTTTTTTTTTTACAGGGACCTTTCGGTTTTCGGATCCACAGGGTAACCGACTAATCTGGAATCGAGCCGGGTAGAACCACAAGGACGACAAAGCTCTCCCTCAAGAGTTTTTAACACTGCTGCATTCATAGTGCTCGAAAACGAGACCACTGGTTAAGCTGAAAGAGACCAAAGCCATCTCATCCAAGCGCTCTTGGGTTTTTTTTTTTTTTAATTTTATCATTAAATGAATAAATTTGCAATGCATGCAAATTATAAAAGTTACCTTATTTGCTTGATTATCTTGAAAGGCTTAAGAGTTATACTCAAAAAAATAGTTGCTTAAATATGTCACATAGCAATTGCAAAGTTTTAAGCCCTAATCCTGCTTACCTATAAAAGGAACGAGAAATTTGTATTTTTTCTAACCAAAATTTGTAAACACAAAAAGAGATCGAGTTAACCAATTTTTTTTGCATTAAGTCTTATGTTCATTTTTTCAACAAATATTCATAGTTTTATAGTTAAATATCGTATTACTTTAAACTGCAGTATAAACAAAAATATGATAATTTATAGTATATGTATCGTGTATTTTTTCGTGAGAAAGAATAATTGTTTAACGACAATCTCGACGATGTGTAAATTCTAATTTTACATGTGCGGTAAAAATCTTGTTGACAGTACATTTCCAAATTATTATCTTTGATTTGAATTGAACTCTTCATTTATGTGCTAATTAATATTAGCTTCAATTGTTTAAGATGATAAGTGAAAAAAAAAATAAAGAATAAAAATGAAAAAAAAATGCAGAGAAGTTTCACACATTTATTGCACAAAACATTTTCACATACAATCCAAAGGTTGTACCATGACCCATCTTAACTTTTTTGATTTTGTAAATTTCTCAAATAAAGTTGGGCATTTGTTCCAATGAGAAAAAGCTAGAATATTTATTAGGTCATTGTGAAAATTCATAAATAAATAGATAAATATAAGCTCTTTATTTCAATTTAAGAGTGTTCATGAATGCACGTTAGTTTCCTTGAATGGTGTGAAAAAAAATGACTTGTGGTCCTCTATATTATTCTACAACAAATATATTGCTTTCGATGTCGCTTTCAATTTTAACTTTTATCACGTGACCTAAGAGTCTGAAACGAACATTTGACTATACTCATTGCTAATGTAACATTTTTAATAGAGTTAACTTTTTTCTATCTTTTGAATTTAATCAACTATTGGTGTTATGTGGATTTTAGGTTGGAGTGAAATATAAAACAAAACCTAAAAATATTTGAAAATTGCATTAATTGAGTAAAACATGAAAAGAGACTTGTGTGCTAAACTGCCTGCTTGAACTGGCCCATAGTCTAAAAAGGTTACGTAAATGGGCTTAATGAGGCCAGCCAGCTTTGGGCTTTATAAATGTTGATATTGTGTTGTGTGGGCTGGTCCGAAATGATTAAATTTATAAATATTGTCTATGCATTTTAAATGATTAAATTTATAAATATTGTCTATGCATTTTGGGATTTTTATATTAAAAAAAAAAAACAATTATTTAAAATCTATATTTATCTTTTTTTTTTTTTTTGGTATTGGTTCCAAAAGGATCAATATTTCCTGGTTCCCAAAATATTCAACAATGATTTTTAAAATAGACGTTAAATTGGCAATTAAAACACACTTGTTTTTGCTCGTTTCTGTTATTATTTCTATGTTTTTATAGTCTTCGTTTGAGTTCATTTTCTTTTCCACTAGATTGATTTGGCTCGCTTATGTCTTTTTGTGTTTATTTGTAAATTTTTTGTACTTCTTTCAACTTTTATATTTATTTCTGTCATAAATTTGCTCATATATCTTTTGTTGGGAACGAACCGGAACAATACCAACCACAGGGGACGCGAGACCCACTTGACTGAGCCACGCAAGACGCGGCCAACTGTCGAGCCGCGAACGTGCTGCCTTGCGCCCTCGCCCTAGAGCCGTACTCGCGACGACCTTGCTCAAGCGACTGATGTCGTTACTCGGATGCACCTGGATGACGGATTTTCGACCTCGTTTTGAACCCATTTAAATGGGGACTCGTGTCAGACTACTAGATCATCTTTGGTCAGCAAAAACAACCAAGGGACTCATTAAAAAGGCTCCAGAACACCAAACTTCTTGTAAATAATTTTTCTTTGGATTTTCTCTATTTTTATTTTTGGCTTGTGCTCGAACTATTGTAGTTGAAGAAGTTGAGAACGAAATCTTGTGATTTCTATCATTATTGTAAGTTTTCATTTATATGTTCTTATTGTTGATTGGATGTGAGTTCTGAGTTCCGATTAACATGGATTCAATCTTGATATACGCTTATTCATCCACCAAGGGCTATGGATTTCAGTTATCGACTTTAAATTGTGTTGAATGAGTAGTGTCCATACATTTTAAATTGTTTGAATACTATTATTAGTTGTTTGTTCACCGTTTAGTCTCTATTGATAAACTAAAACCGAAAGGAAATAGGATATCCGACCATGGTTCGAATGGGGTAGACATGTTCATATTTGTATTTGTCTCTCTTGAATTTTACAAAAAAAGTCTTAAAGCTCAAGGAGTAATAAGTATGGAAAACCAATCTAAGAGATTTAGTTCTAAAATCCCACCAATAATTAAAATAATAAATGAATTTTAGTGTTGTTAAAACTATAATTGTTGGCATTATATCAAGGAAAACATATAAAACAATACAAATAAAAACGAGGACTTTTTTTCCAGTATTATTTGAAGATATATTGTATAATTTAAGGTAGATGAATTCTATAGACAAAATTATTATAGAAAAATATTTTGTAGTATAAGGTCATCAATATCAATGCAGGTGTAAACGAGTCACATTCGAAATTCAACTCGACTCGTTAATAAAACAAGCCAATAAACGAGATCAAACTTGATTTATTTAATAGTAGTAACAATTTAGTCACATTCAAAACTTAACGAGTCAGACTATAAAAAAAAATGTAATATCTAAACTTTCAATATGAACCGGTCGAATCAACTAAACGAGCTTTATAAAAGTTCGAGCTAAATCAAATTTGTCTTAATTAAGGAACCAATTAAATAAACCACCACAAAAAAAAAAAAAAAAAATATATATATATATTCAAACAAGAAACCCTAAAAGCTATCCCCTTCTGTTACTTGCCTCTCTCAGCATCTGCAGCATACGGCCTCTTTCACTCTAGAGGTCTTTTACTCCATTGGAACACTTTGTTCATATATGTATTTTTACCCTTTATATATGTGCAAATTGAATTGACTGTTAAGAATTAGGAAATTCGCTATTTTGTTTGGATTGTCTAATCTTTGTTTTTCTTTTCTTTCAGATTCTTGAGAATTTAGAGTGAAGGGATCGATCTTGTGAAGCAATGGCTCTGGTGAGTGAACCCTTTGTTTCGCGGGTTTGTAATGTTTTATGGTAGATCTGTTTTTAGATTTGTGGAGCATGCAAGCATCAAGTGTAGATTGCTATTTATGGGTTCTGTGATTTATGCATTTGCTCCTCCGCAGAATTTTTGGTTCTTGTGCTTCAGGCTTAGTGGGTTATGCTGTACTTTCTATTTTGGAGAACTTTATCTCGAAACCATGTAGAACAATGGTTTTAAAAATGAGACCTTTCTTGAAAAAGAAGCTGGACCTTTGATATTAATCGTGCATAAATGTTCATATTCTCGTTTTGTTGTTATTTTTAATCCTGATTTGAGTCTTGTCTGGTACTTTACTCAGGTTCTGCATTCCTCTGAGAACAAAAATGCATTCAAGGCACTTATTGCAGCAGCGTACACTGGTGTAAAAGTTGAATTGTCGAAGAATTTTCAGATGGGCGTGACGAATAAAACCCCAGAATTCATCAAGAAGAATCCGATTGGGAAGGTAAGAACAATTTGCTTCGCAGTATTGTTCTCTTGAATTCATGCGATTTTTATTTATTTATTTTGCTGCTTCGTTGATTTTGAGTTTTATCTCCCTAGATTCCTGTGCTCGAAACACCCGATGGATGTATTTTCGAGAGCAATGCAATTGCACGCTATGGTAAAATTGACTAATCATTAGTTCTGTGTCGATTTGGTTCTGTAATGTAATTTGTTCACTTATGCATTTCCTGTTTACATTTTTCAGTGGCTCGATCAAATCCTGATAGCACCTTATATGGGTCTTCGTTGATTGATTTCGTAAGTCGACTGCTGTTTAGCTTCTACATATGAAATTTCGCACTTTATTTTTTGTTTTTTCATTTCCACTTATCAAGTCTTCTGAGTCTCTAGTTATATGTTTAACAATATGTTTAGCTTAACCTCTTATCCTACTTTATTTTGTTCACTGGATTTGTCAGGGTCACATTGAGCAGTGGATCGATTTTTCTGCTACTGAGATTGATGCTAACATAGCATCCTGGTTGTACCCAAGGCTTGGATTTCGTCAATATATTGCCCCGGTATCAGTCTTTTTCACTCTTATGCTTTCATGATATTTAATTATATTCACTAACTCTTGTAATCCATCATTGTTCTTTATTTTTATTTATCTATTTTATTTTTCCTTTTTTTTTGTGCCTTCAATTTATATCTAGGCTGAGGAGGTTTCAATTGCTAATCTAAAGAGGGCTTTGGGAGCTTTAAACGCTCACCTTGCTTCAAACACTTACTTGGTTGGGCACAGTGTCACGCTTGCAGACATTGTTATGGTCTGCAATCTTGCTTATGGATTTAAGGTGGGCCTGACCAAGAGCTTCACCTCTGAGTTCCCTCATGTGGAGAGGTATGTCTGGACATTGGTCAACCAGCCCAACTTCAAGAAGGTATGGGGTGATGTCAAGCAGGCTGAGTTGGTCCCGCCCGTTGCGTCCAAGAAGCCGGCCCAAGCCAAGGAGGCTGCAAAGCCCAAAGCGAAAGAGGAGCCAAAGAAGGAGGCTAAGCCCAAAGAGGTGGCAGCAGAGGAAGAGGAGGCACCTAAGCCGAAGGCTAAGAACCCATTGGATCTGTTGCCTCCGAGCAAGATGATTCTCGATGAGTGGAAGAGGCTTTACTCTAACACTAAGACCAATTTCCGTGAGGTTGCAATCAAAGGTATAGTTTTCAACATCCATTCATGTTTGGACCTTCTGTACATTTTTTTTATTAATGAATTGCATATTGGTTGGTTTATAAAATGTTCGAAAATTTCTCTGCATTGACAAATAACAAATTAAGAGCATGTTTGTTTACAAAATAATTCATTCACATACAATTCATACTCAAAATCTAACTCAACATTAACCCAACCTCACTATCCTTAATATTATCAATATAATTAAATAATACAAACCAATTATTCTTACACATCACATCAACCTTAATTTACTATTTATCCACTCACATAATTTTAACTTACTATTACTTCACATCATTTCTCTCATATTTTTACAAACAAATCAATTTTAATTTAAATAGTTTTTAATATAAAGTCAAAATCCCACTAACAACTAGCCATCAAAGTTTTTCAAAATTGACCATGGTTAATAAAGAAAACTCATTTTGAGTGGATTTATTTGTAAACAATCATGCTCTAAAAAGACTACTTGGGTGTATTTTTAGCAAAGAGTTTCACATGCAATTTTGTTTGGGTTGGTTTATCTTGGATAAAAAATGGGCGATGTGGAGATCTGTGGTGTAAAATTATTGTTTGATATTTATATAAGTCTTGATCTGATATTGTGTGAAATACTTGCTATTTGTTTCTACTAGAAATATTCTGTGTAGAGAAGTGACGGATTTTTGTTTCGTCTTAGAAAAGTTGATTTGATATAACGATGGATAAAAATGTCTTGTGATGATTGAACGACTTTATTTTAACATTTTTTTCCCCCTCTATATATGCTTTTATAGGATTCTGGGACATGTATGATCCTGAAGGATACTCTCTTTGGTTCTGTGACTACAAATACAATGATGAAAATACGGTCTCGTTTGTCACCCTAAACAAAGTGAGCGGCTTCCTGCAGAGAATGGACCTTGCCCGAAAGTACGCTTTCGGAAAGATGCTCATCATTGGCTCTGAGGCTCCTTACAAGGTCAAGGGGCTTTGGCTCTTCCGAGGGACCGAAATCCCCCAGTTTGTACTGGACGAGTGCTATGACATGGAGCTCTATGATTGGGCCAAGGTGGACATCAATGACGAGGCCCAAAAGGAGCGGGTCAGCCAGATGATTGAGGATGCTGAGCCCTTTGAAGGTGAGGCCTTGTTGGATGCCAAGTGCTTCAAGTAAAGGATGTATTTTGTGGGTTTTTTTTTGGGTAGCCTATGGGAAGAATTTTGGTTAGGCTGATGAGTTATAAGGTATACTCTCTTATATCTGTTTTTGCTGGACTTGGTTTTTGCAAGGCTTTTAGCCTGAGTTTTTGAACCTTCAACTGTTAGTTGTAAACTTTACTTTTCCTTCTCTCTCTGTGTCCTTGATAGTAAATGATGTGATGTGCATTATACTACTACTTTTGATTTTCAATGGCCAATATATAAAATAAAGGTTTTGAACAGTTAAATGGCTTCAGTCATAAAAAGTAATTGAGAAAGAAATCGAAAGAACGAAGGGCCTCGGAGATCAAAGGAACTAGTAGAGATGATCTTTGTCTATCTTAGTAGCTGAAAGGTCAGCTACTGCGATAGGATAGAGAGCTGGTCAATGTTTTTCTCTCCTTTTCTATGATTGAACTTTGTTTGGTTCGTGCCCTCGTCCTTTCTTCTCCTTTCTTCTATGACTGAACTTCGTTTTGTTCGTTCCTCGTCCTTTCTTCTATGACTGAACTTCGTTTCGTTTGTTTCCTCGTCAATTTACATCGAACCTTTCAATCTTGCAACTTTCTTTTATGAAGAGGATAAAATTGTCAATTATTTTTGTGCTCTAGAAAGATCTGTTTTTGTTTACTGTTGCTGTAATGGTAAAAAATCACGAGGGGAAAATTTTGAATTATTACAACTTCTGTATTAAATCTGTATCAAGTAATAACTTAATTCATATTGAATAAAATCCAATGGGAGGGGACAAATAAAATATCCAATTTAATATTGAATAATCAGTACGTTGACATTGTTGACCAAAATTCGTACTTTGCCTTGTCATAACCATTCCCCCATTTACCGATTTTCTGGCCACATTCAATCCAACCCGAATTCATTTAATTATATACCACTATCAATTACTTCCCAAATCAAAATCAAATATAATTTCAGTCTTATGTGCAAATTAATTTTCTAATAATGTTTGCCAAGTATCCCCGCCAGTCAAATAATCTTTCATTTTGGTTTCACATTACCTGTTTATAAAGTCACAGCATATTATGTCACGCGTGAAGTAAGCAGTAGTCAGCTCCTCACATGTAAAGCAAAAAATCTAATAACCTAATATCATAATCAAGAGCGTTGAACGAGCTGATCTTCTATAATTCAAGCTCGAGTTTGAGCCTCTATCAAGCCAAGCTGTAGATAAAATGAGTCGATAAATGAGTTTGAGTTTAACTCGTTTATCAATATCAACAGCTTTAACGGGTTAAACTTGTTTATCAAGCAAGTGGAGTTGAGGTCTAGCCTTAACAAAACACAATTCACGAGCGGCTCATACTATTTAACAAAACAACTCTACTAGAGACTAAATTAGAGGAGACAAATAATTTTTTAAGGTTAAAAAGTTATTTTATGTTGGTTCTTTTTACACATGTACAATATTTTATTGCAAAATAACGAAATATTTGTTGTTAAAAAGAATAAATTTTTATAGTAACAAGTACTATGACCATTTTTCTCTTTTCCTACCTATAGACTTCTTTTTCCACTTGTTAATTAATTTGTTGGCATCGACTTTTTGGGGTCAAAGCTCAAAATCAACCCAAAACACCACAAGACAACCTCCACAAGACAAGTGACCAACCAACCATCCCTACGGTTCTCTCTATAAATGCCTGTACAATTGGTTTCTTGATATCAAAAGAACATTTCTCATTTTCTTTTTTCAAACGAAAATTGTTATTTTGCAGAAAAAATGGAGATCAAATCTGATGAGGGGCAAGAAAAGGAGCAAATCCCTCTCCTCACACCTTACAAAATGGGGAAGTTTGAGCTTTCTCACAGGTACTCACCATCCATTACTACCCCCTCTCTCTCTCTCTCTCTCTCTCTCTCTCTCTCTCTCTCTCTCTCTCTCTCTCTCTCTCTCTCTCTCTCTCTCTCTCTTTTTCTTTACATATCTTCTACTTTTTTGTGTTGTCCCTTTCCTCCCAAGTTTATGTATTGATGGAAATAAAGATTTAATTTTTAATTAAGTGTGTGATTAAAAAAATTGTTTTCTATGTTGTTACGCTAAACCCACTTGGATTTTGTGCTTAATATACATGCTATTGCGTAAAGATTTCAACTTTATGAGAACATGTTTAGTTTTCATATGTTGTTCTCCAATTGGGTGCTTATTTTTAGATGGGTTTGGTCTGATTGGTCAAATAATCAATTCCTAGTTCTGCACATTGCGTAAAGATTTCAACTTTATGACAAGATTTTTGAGTTTTCATGGTAGTTCTTCACTTGGGTGCTTATTTTCAGATGGGTTTCGTCTGATTGGTCTAATAATCATTTACTAGTTCTGCACTTCGCATAAAGATTTCAACTTTATAGGAACATGTTTAGTTTTCATCTATAGCTTATTTAGATGGACTTTGTTTGATTGACCAAGTGGGCTCTAACTGATCCTTAATCCTTAATAAGAATGTTTTTAACTCATATTTTATAAATTTATATATTTTTTTTAAAAAAAAAATAATTTTGGCAGAATTGTTCTGGCACCACTGACTAGGCAGAGATCCTATGGCAATGTGCCTCAGCCACATGCTGTATTGTATTACAGTCAAAGAGCATCAAAAGGTGGTTTCATTTTGAGTGAAGCCACTGGAGTTTCTGATACTGCACAAGGGTAATTTTTATATATTAATTTGCATAGCCTGTTTGTGTTATATATATATATTTATATATTTATATTTTTGCTGAACCAATATATATTTTTATTAATTTATTTCCTTTGTCTCAGGTACCCAAATACTCCTGGCATATGGACCAAGGAACAAGTTGAGGCATGGAAGCCCATTGTGGACGCAGTTCATGCTAAAGGTGCAGTTTTCTTTTGTCAGATTTGGCATGTTGGCAGGGTGTCCAGCACAGGTACATTTTTTTTTTTTTTTTTTTAAATGCTAGAGTTAATTACAATACATTCTGGTTTAATTTGCTTCACATAACTCAAGAATTATTATTGGATATGTAGTTGTTGGTTGAATTAACTTCAAAAATTTTCAGAGTTTCAGCCAAATGGACAGAGTCCAATATCATCCACAGATAAAGAACTAACTGCACAAATTCGAGCCAATGGCATTGATGTTGCCCAGTATTCCCCTCCAAGACGGCTAAGAACAGACGAGATCCCGCAAATCGTCAATGACTTCAGACTCGCCGCAAGAAATGCTATAGAAGCTGGTAACATATGTTGCTTGAACTGTTGTTAGTTACACAAAAAAGCTCCATTCTTGTTATAATGTTTCTTTAGGAAAAGTGATTGTCAGAGCTTTCTGTTGGAAATGGAAGTGTTGGTGATTGTTTTGTACACAGTCCTGAAAAGTGTGTGCTTTAGAGATTAGAGCTCTGATTCTGCTCATTATTTTGACTCAGAACCCGGTTAATATTTCCCTAGGTTTTGATGGGGTAGAGATCCATGGGGCCCACGGCTACCTAATCGACCAGTTTTTCAAAGACCAAGTCAATGACCGTACGGACCAATACGGAGGATCCCTCGAGAACAGGTGTCGATTTGCCCTCGAAATAGCTGAGGCCGTGTCAGACGAGATCGGGCCCGAACAAGTCGGGATTAGGCTTTCCCCCTTCACCAACTTCATGGAGTGTGGCGACTCGAACCCCAATGCTCTCGGGCTTTACATAGCTGGCGCCCTAAATAGTTACGGGCTCCTTTACTGCCACATGGTCGAGCCCAGAATGCGAACCGCCGTGGAAAAAGAAGACAGCCCACACAGCCTTGTTCCAATGAGGAAGGCCTTTAAGGGAACTTTTATTGCAGCCGGCGGTTTTGACCGGGAGGATGGTAATAAGGCCGTGGCCGAAGATCGTGCGGATCTTGTTGCTTATGGCCGCCTTTTTCTGGCCAATCCAGATTTGCCTAAAAGGTTCGAGCTCAATGCTCCGCTTAATAAATATAATCGGGAGACATTTTACATGGCGGACCCGGTTATCGGGTATACAGATTACCCGTTCCTTGAAGAAATTGTGTGATTGATTGTTTGTGTTTGCGCAGTTATTATTGTGATTGATTGAATAATGAAAAAAACGTACGTTTGAAATGAACTAATGAGAAAAGTGATGTACTACAACATTTGCATATTATTAGTACTACAATGTATCTTTCAGTGCTCGATGGATTTCGGAACTAAAACGTCGAAATCACTGACAGTCCATTCGGCTGTGGCTCCGGGTGGGCCCATGTACATCTCCGTACCGACATTAATCGATAACCATACGCGTTTTGCTGGTGGGGTTCCTGGATCCTGCCTCAAAAGTCACAGAAATTGTTTAACAAAAAGAAAAGAAAAGAAAAAAATATAAATTTTGTCTATTTCTTTGTTCAATCAATGTACCTGATAGAAATATAACCGGCTCGAAAGGGCTCCTGTATCGAGCTCCCAAGTCTTTGGGCCACTAACCCACCCATCCCCCTTTTCCGCAGGGTACCCATGCACGGCCCACTCGGAATGGGGCAGGAGCTGGACCAATTCTTGGGCCTGCGGGTTGCTAAACGGGTCGCATGTGCCGGATGGTTTTTCCAGGTACTTTGCATTCCCCGGAGCACAATAGTAATGATAAGCCGAGTAAGGAAAACGGGCTGTGTCATTTCTTGGTATAATTTCTCCTTTGGTACTGTTATGGTAAGGTGGGCAAGCAGCAAGATTGGTGGGCCCACACGAGCTCCCGGTGGAGGGGTTGATGATCATCTCACTGTATCGGGTTACGTCCGTTAGGACATCCCCATCGCACGGTTTGCCGTCGTTTTTCCAGCAGCTCCCGATGTCGAGCAGGTAGAATTGACTGCTTGGCCCTCCGCCTTGTTTGATGTCTAACGTTAGTCTGACCTTGAAGTTCGGGGTTTCGGGCAGCTGTGTAGTACATAACAGTAGTTGATTAATTATTTTTTGAAAAATGTGGTTTTTTTCGAAAAAATAGAAAATGGCGCCAAACCGTTTTCATGATGCCAGTCCCGTTATAATGATACCCGCCGTTTAATCCTTTAGATGCGTCTGATCTAAGATACAGCATGAGCCAAGGGTATTTGGCGGAAATTGTCAGTTTGTGATACACTATCCAGCTGTTTGTGCTCGAGTTCTTGCTCCACGTGACTGCGAAAAACGAGCGGTTATTTGAATTTCGCTCGGCTGCACTCAAATCCACATCGAGATCGTAAGTCCCGTAAAAACCCCCGACTAAGGACGCGTTTTTGTTGTGGTCATAAACGGGTTTTGACCCGTTACGGTAGACGAGGGGTTGATTCATGCATCCTGGCCCGAAACACGGGAAATTTATGCTCGTCACAGTCTTATTGACCTTTTTCCCATTCTCAGGGCAGAATGTGGCGTTTTTGTCGAGATTGCCGTTTTTCAGCATTACGGTCCAGAAAGACCAGGAACCGTTGGAATCGGACGCTTCACAGAGAGACCCGAGGTACAACTCTTTTTGCGCGGCGTACTTGTCGGGATCTGTGTAAGAATTAAATTCGTTGTTCGGGATTTTATTGCCTGATTTCAGTCTGTTGTCTGAATCACTGACTCTCTGGTTTATTTTGCATGTGCTGCTCGAATTATCTGGTTATCGCAAACACGAACGAAGCTTATGTGGTGTTAATCCAAATTCAGATTCGAGTAAAATATCAGGTATAGCTCAAATTCCATCATACAACATACTAATGTGTCTCATACACAGTCAACATATTGAAGCAGAACACAGAATGAGACAAATAACGGAACTTGTTAATAACAAGATGAGTTAATTGATTAGCTGAATTTGCCACATTATGCTTTAAGAACTTGCAGTGCTGACTACAGCTCCAAACACAGAAATTGCTGTGTCCTAACTCAGAAGAAACACTACATTTTCAAATGATTCGACTTTACAAAAATGTTATCCATGACCAACTTTTCTGCAGGCCAGAATCGTGTTTTTGTGAGCCCGAAAGGAGTGGACTTTCCGGTTTTGAACCGAACCCAAAGGTCCCAAACAAACTTCGAACCAGGCCAGGTGAGCCCGCACGTACTCAGCTGGCCTTTTGCCATTGTTTAGTGTCTAGACTAAGGTCTTTATTTCTACCCCTCAAATCTTTACACCATTGATTGAAGAACTAAAAGTATATTTAGAAAAAGAAAGAAAAAAACAGAAAGATAAGAGAAGATGAAAGGTAAATTAAAACCTGTATGAGGTGAACAATTAAGGTCGGCACAATCGGCAATTCTTGGGCTGCCCATGCCCGGAGCCTCGACTCCAACTTCATTACATGAGTTCCAAGCTTCCAACCCGAACCTCGAATCCGAGTGTCTCATTCCTGGGTCACCTAATATAGACAAATACCCACTTTTTCCAGCTAAACAGTTCAAATGTCCTTGCCATTGACCAATATCAAGAATCAGTACAAGTGTAATAGCCACCACAGACCAGAAACCCATCACTGGAAATACCTCAAGAACACAACTTTTTAGCTTTGTATTAGCAGATTTTGTTAAATAAATATCATCACATAAATCACAAGTCTAATAGCCACCCCAGATAAAAAAACCCATCACTGAAAACAGCTCAAGAACACAACTTTTTAGCTGTTTATCAGCAGATTTTGTCAAATAAATTGCATGCGGTGATTTTTTTCACACTTTTTTTTGCTGGGTTTTGTTATTTTCTTGAAAATCCACGGACCCATTTTGTAGCTTTTAAAATCTGAGAATAAAAATATGCCTTTGAAGCAAATCAAGAATTGAGTGACAGCCTTTTCTGGCACTCACCCTTTTTCTAAACAAATTAAACAAAGATAATTTTTTTTTTTTTTTTTATTATTATCAATGCATTTAACTTTATGACTTAATGTAGAATCTGTTGGTGCAGGCTTTTCTGCAGGGTACGTGAGATTTAGCCACAAGCATTATGATATTAGTTGATTTCATACGTTTTTTGGTGATTACATGACTTTAATGCATGATTGCAGATAAAGAAAACCTCTGCTAATCGGACAAAGATCAACACCAAACGCCTACAACACTACTAACTAAAAAGTAGGGAGTTTGGTAATATATTTTTACCCCCAATTGAAGTTCAACAAGAAGCATGATTGGTAATAGTGAAAATGTTGAAATTTATTATACGACAAATTTACTTTACACCTAAAGATTGGAAAAAAAATTGCTATTGAAGTAATAAATCAGCACCAAATTGCATGTTTTTTTTGTACAATTATGAGTTATGACATGCTGGTATTTTAGTACAAGGAAAGCATGTTATGTGTCAAGAATTTTTCTTCCTTTATTTTGTAACTGATGCGGTATCCGTGCGATGCACGAGCTAATTTTATTAAGTAAAGTAAGCAATTATATTTAGATGATTGGAAGAACGTAAAAACCATGTATTGGAATAAAACAAATTGTAACTTATATATTATTAAACATAATACAACGTATCTTTGTGTAAACCGTATCTAAGAAAATAAACGCTTGACACCTGTATATATTAGGATTCAAAATAGGCTTAAATAAAATCAATTAATATATTTAGCATGATATATAAGATATGATTTATACTGGTTTTATGAAGACTGCATAGTCAAATATAACGAAGATTGTAAAACGTCTTTCTTGATAATCTATAGTATTATTATTTTAAAATTGTAAATTACTTAATTTAAGGAGGTAAAATATTGTCCAATTTGTATTCTATAGGATTAAACAAAACTCAAATTTGTAGGATGTTTCAATCCGATTTCATTTTTTTTCAAATTAATATTATCTAACTATGTGTTATGTAAAAAAATCCGAACTAAAGAGAGTAGTAGCAAATGATATGAGATTTTTAAATTTTAATATCAATTTGAAATTGGGTCGATTTGTATGCAATCCGATTTTTTTTTTTTAATAAACAAGATCTCTTGCATAAGTAAAGATACATTTTATAGTATTTTGCCTAATTCGAAATTTCTCGATTTTGACTTTTACAAAATTGTCATGTCGAATTTTACCTAAATTAACCCGATTTCAATGCAATCCGATTTTTGTAATAAACAATTGATCTGTTGCAATTAGGAAAAGATATATGCGATAGTATTTTGCCTAATTCGAAATTCTCGATTTTATGGTAATCAGTTTTTTCTATTAAAAAATGAGAAAATTTTGACTTCCGCAAAATTGTAACCATCAGTCGAAATTTACCTAAATCAAATTCACAAAACCCATAAATTTAGGGTCATATATAACTGCTCGATATTTTGAGAATAATTTAAAAATAAAATTAAAAAACTACTAAAAATTAAATGCAATAAATGTTGATTAACTTTTCTTATTAACTATTTTTAGTAAATAAGTTCTCTCTTTATATATTATAGATTTTATAAATGTATACATTTATATTATGTTGTTTGTTTTTCTTGTAAAGTCTCCATATAGGGCCATACAAAATTACCAAATCAACTTCCGGAGAAATCCAAAAAATAGTTTTTTTATCGAATTCCTGCAAAATCTTTACAGTTGGTCTAATTTGTTGAATTAACCATCTTTAAATGGCTGCCAGCTTTTACAATTGGAAGAATTTTTTTGGGTTTTCTAGCAAAAATGATTAATTTGGTAAGTTTAATCTGTGATCAGATTGGACTAATGTTATATTATTGTTCAATTAATCATTATTTAGGTGGTAAAAATATTTTGAAAATAGAACATAAAAAGAAGGCAACTGATTGGTCCATCTTCATACTTGCGAATCGGGATTGCCATCAGCAATGAAGTAGTAGTTAAAGTTATGTCCAACTCTCTATACAGCTATTAAGCAAAAACGAGCAAGTGAGCTCAGCTTGGTTCGGCTCGACAAATTCGACAATGTGAATAATAACTGTTTTTTTTATTTTAAATATATATAAATATCTTACCATAAAATATCTTTATATATAAACAATTCATAACACAACTGCCAATACAGGCCATTTATAAAGAGCTCCATATTCTTGTTCCATCCATATTTGAATAAATTACAAATTTTTGGGATCAAATGTGATTCTGGATTTAGAAGCTGAAGAACTCATCCAGATTGCTGGGATAATATCCTGGTGCACCAAACACAAACAAAGCATTTGAGTACCAAAAAAATTACAACAAATAGGTAAAAGAACCTCATCGAGAAAATGAGGAAACACGTTACACGGTCGATGCATCGTACATTCATTTCTATTTCCTTTCCGATGAAAGGGTATATATGTAAAATACACACTACATATACCTCAGGCGACCGTTTTCGCCATCTTTATGAACTAAAACATCAAAGTCACTAACAGTCCATTCGGCCGTAGCCCCAGCTGGACTCACGTAGATTTCAGTACCGACATTAATTGATGACCATATTCGTCTTGCTGGTTTTGTTCCAGGATCCTGCATAAGAATATTTTGAAAAACGATTAAATTACCTCATATTTTCGCATTATTTATCGTTTGAATCGAAAAAAAAAAAAACTTTCTCCCATATTGCTAGCAAAGACAGACACTCCCTTAATAGTAATACTTGAGTTGAGCCTAGGGCTGCAAACGAGTCGAGCCGAGTCGAGCATTGACCTTGTCGAGCTCGAGCTTGATTTTTTTTTTGTAGCTCGAGCTCCATGAGCCATGAAAATGACGCTCGAGCTTGACTCGTGAAACGAATGGAAATGCTCGAGATCGACTCGATGCTAGAGATTGGTTCGATGCTCGGGATCGGCTTGAGTTCGGCTCAAATTTTAACAAGTATATATTATGCACCTATGACAATTTTGTGAATTACTTTCATGTAAAATATATGTAAAGGGTATTTAAGTACTTTTCCGCGAGCGCTCGACTTTTGAAAATTTGGCTCGAGATCGACTCGATAACATACTCGAGCTACTCGGGCTCGACTCGAGTTAGGTCAAACTCGTGCTTTGACTCGAGTGCTCGAGCCGCTCGACTCGTTTACAGCCCTAGACTTGAGCCCTATCTTTTTCTTGAATTCCTTCTGTCAATCAAATATTTCTTACCTGATAGAAATACAACCGACTCGAAAGGGCCCCCGTATCGAGCTCCCAGGTCCTCGAGTCACCAACCCACCCTTCCCCCTTTTTCTTGGGGTACCCATGCACAGCCCACTCGGAATGGGGCAGGATCTGGACCAGCTCCTGGGCCTGCGGGTTGCTATACGGGTCGCAGATATCGAACGGCTTTTCCAGATACTGTGCATTCCCGGGAGCACAGTACAGGTGATAAGCACTGTATGGAAAACGAGACGCGTCATTTCTTGATATGATCTGCCCTTTTGTGCTGACGTGGTAAGGCGGGCACGAGACGAGGTTGTCCGGGCGGCACCAGCTCGGAGTGGAGGGGTTGATAATCATCTCGCTGTATCGGGTGACATCGGTTATGACATCACCGTCGCACGGGTCCCCATTGTTTTTCCAGCAACTCCCGATGTCGAGGAGGTAGAATTGACTGTTTTGCCCTCCGCCTTGTTTGATGTCCAGAGTTAGTCTGACCTTGAAGTTCGGGGACTCAAGCAGCTGCATAGATTGACTGAGATAAATAAAAAATCCCATTTTTAATAGAAAAAATGTCGAAAGAGGTACTAACAGTAACAGACCTTTTTCATAATGCCACGCCCGTTATAATGGTACCCACCGTTAAACCCTGTAGATGCATCAGACCTTAGATACAGCATAAGCCAAGGATACTTAGACGAGGTTTTCACTTTTTGCGACACAATCCAACTGTTTGTACTCGAATTCTTGTGCCATGTGGCGGAAAAGAAAGATTTGTCATTTCCAGCACCACCACTTAAATCACTTAAATCAGCATCAAGATCGTAAGTTCCGTAAAATCCTCCGACCAATGAGCTACTTTTATTGCCATTCGAAACGACTCTCGACTGGTTGTGGTACACGAGGGGTTGGTTCATACACCCCTCGCCAAAACAAGGGAAGGTTCGGTTGGTCACTATCTTGCCTACTTTCTTCCCGTTTTCGGGGCAAAGTGTGGTTCTTTTGTCGAAATTTCCATTTTTTAGCATCAACGTCCAGAAATACCAAGGTTTGTCAGAATCGGGAACCTCACAAAGCGACCCCAGATATAGTTCCTTTTCAACTGCATACTTATCAGGGTCCGTATAGGATTTATATCCGCCAATGGGAAATTCATCACCTGCTTTCAGTCTGTTGTCTGATTCCTTCACTTTCTGGTGCACGTCACATGAGCTGCTTGAATGATCTGATCATCAATACATTGTGAAACAAAGCTGATTTGATTAATTCAAGAAATATAACCTTAAGTTTCTTTTCTTTTCTTTTCTTTTTGTGAGTGTATATGGTAATTCATTGTTAGCTTATTGTAGCCTCCAATTTCAAGTACAATCATTTAACACGAATCAATTTGATATTACCAATTACCGTACTATAGCCTATAGGTATAAACGTAGCCAGCAAATTGTGTTAAATCTCTTTATAACAGACTTGATCAGATCATGCACTCAATACCGATACAGATAACCGACAAATTCGAGACTTACATGGTGAATCATATTCATGCTATATTAAGTAAAAATCTAACCCTCGTCTTCAAATATCAATCGATGGCACTCAACAGTCAATAAATCAAGAAAACAGAAGAGCACAAACATGTTGTGTGAAAAATTAGAGTTTTTTTACTGCTTCAAAAGTTAGAAACCCAGTTCACATGATTAATTTGTCCAAGCAATATGCTCAAAACCAAACAATTATAGGAACAATGGAACTGCATTTTTGCAGCATGCATGGATTATAATGTTAGTGAAGCAGAAGCTACAAATGTATCACAATAGCCTAAACTTGAAGTAGAATCAAACTTGCAAACCAAACATAATCACATTTCCCCTGTTCTTTTCCAACCAAACAGAAGCTGCCATCTGCAACTCACTCACGTATTCACCAGCTCAGAACACAGAGTCACCTTTCCTTTCAGCACCAAACACACTCCCATAAACAAACTCCTCAATCAGAACACTTACAAAAACACTATTTCACATTTTAAACACAACACACAAACAATTCTTAAGGAAATCAAGAAATATAGCCCCGAAAGATGAAAAAGATCAAACCTTTATCATCTGGGCAGTGAAAATCAGCACAATCTGCCATTCTTGGGCTGCCCATTTGGGGCGCCTCCACACCAACTTCATTACAGAAATTCCAAGCTTCCAACCCAAATCTCGCATTTGGGCTCTTCATACCAGGGTCACCGACCACAGACACATACGAATTTCCCCTCGAAATTTGGGCCAAGCAAGCTAGATTGCCCCGGCCAAGAACAAGAACAACGAGCGAGATAGCCAGCTCGACGAGGAAGAACAATGGCCGGGCCGAAAAACCCATCATTATATTCCTCTAAAAAAAAAAAAAAAAGAAAAAAATCGAGAACAAGATTTGCTGCAGTACCACGAAATGCCCAATGCTGGTGTTTTTTTCTACATTTTTTGCGTTGTTCGTTGAAAAGAATCGTATACAATCCTGCCAAGGCACGTTTTTGAAGTAGTTGCTGTTTCACATTAAATTGCCTTTGAAGCAAATTGAGATTATTTTTTTTTTTTTAATTATTTTTTAAGGAAAAATGAAAACAGTCTGTACTGGCTGCCAGTGCCAGGTGCCATTTTTGCGGCTATATCACTCACACTTGTGACAAGGTCACGGGGTTTTGTACTGTTGGATTTTATTTTTTTTTTCTATATGAAATTTTGTTTAAGTCGGCATCATTGTTTTTGGTGATTTGAGAATTTCTGAACCTTTCTTTAGAAAATTTGTCAGTAAATAGAAAAAAATTCAGCAAAGCGAAATGCTACGGTTACGTTACGGAACCGTTCCGTCGGATTTGTAACTGTTAGATCATCGTGCAATCGTCGAGGATAGTTGATCAAACGACTACAAATTTTGACGGAATTATTTTGTAACGAGACCATAGCATCTTCAAATATTATATCCCATCATTATTGTGTTATTGAGAAGAAAGACTGTAACAGTAGAAAAGTAGACAACAGAAAAAAGATTTACTGATAAGGCGGGTTTAGGGCGGGTATAGTTTGACTTTTGACTCAAACTCGTTGCTTTTCTCCCATTAATAGCTGAAGTAATTGGAAGTTTATAAATGATATCTCTTGGAAAATGGTAAAATCCTCCTCCTCCCTATATATTAATACACAGAACGCGCTTAGTCTACGTGGTTGTTTTTTGTGCTTCGAAATCTTATATGGTAAAATTACATATTTCGTTATTAAGCTTGGGTAAATTTTAATTTAATTCCAAATCAAAAATAATTATGTTCGGATTACTATAAATATATTGATTATTTATGGTCATGTTACATGTATTAATTGTATTTTAATATCATTCTTTATTATAACTATTGAATTGTATATATATTTTAAAAATTAATAATTTTTGTATTTTTTATCAGTTTTACATATGTAATATAATCTTCTTTTGATGAGCTTCGATTTAACATCCATATTGTATGTATAAAAAAAATAATTTATATTTATCTTTATAACAATAATAAAATTACTTTTAATATTAATTAGAAAAATAAATTTATTTATCAACTAATATATTTATATTTCAAGTAGTTATATGATATAAATTATAAAAACTGATATAATATAACACATGTAAGTTATAAGTAACACATATCATTCCAAATATACAGTAATATATTTTTTTTTGTAAAAAAATGAAACTAAATTTAATATAGTTTTCTCATTAATTTTAAAATTTAAGAATAATTTTTTAACAAGCACCCGTATAATACACGAGTATTGTACTAGTATGTATTCTATTTATAAATAATAAATAGTTGATGTACATTGTTGCATGAGGCGTTGTGCCGGTTAGGTGAGTTGAATAGACTTTGATATGGGATATTATACCCACAAGGCGGAACCGGTCTGTTGACCGGTCGAGGAGG